TTCGAACAAATTCGAACAAAACATTCGAAATAGAAAGCCACTTTCAACCACTTTCAGCCTCATATCTCCCGCACCCTTATAGCTATCGAGACGCAACCACCCGTATGCACGAATGGAGACTTGGGGCTACCACCATATACAAACACCATTCACGTGCGATGTGTAGTTTTGGCGGAAAAGTGAAATATAGGGACACACACGTCCATTTATATATATATCTATATATAAAATATATATATAGATATATTATCTTACAAAAATATGTAGGATTGTTTTAACTTACATTTTTTTCTTAGAATATTTTGAATAAAGAATATTTGAGGTGGAGCATTAGCAAAGCTTCTATTGGGCTTACAGAATTGTATTTGTTCTCAAAATCTGTTTGATCGATTCTGATTAAACTTTGCCATTTTCCATTAATTGCGATGAGGAATCCAAAAATGAAATAAAAATGACGGTTCATGACTTTGTTTTTGAGATATAAGATTGTTTCATGAGAGTGCACAACAAAGTGATATTACATGAACTGTGAGACTTTGTCATGTGATGTTTTATGGTTGCTAGTGTGAGGATCTAGCTGGGGGGCATGGAGTTTTGATAGCATTCGTATGCCACTTAATCGGCAACTAGTCTGTGAGACTAGCCTGTGGTCGTCGAAGGATGGCTTCCTAAGACTTAAATGAGAAACAAGGGTCTGCGAAGATCCCCTGTAAGTTGCTTTTTCCTGACACCAGCCTAGTTATAGCATTAGGCATGCTAACATTCATTCGCAAGGAATCTCAAGTGGAAGGGTCGCAAATAAGTAGAAAGGCTGTTTGCTCGGATTCGAGTCATGAATGAGACCACGTTAAAACAATAACAAAGATTTAATAAAAACAAAATTAAATGGATAAATACAATTAAATACAAAATGAAATAACTAAATATTGCATCTAAACTGGAGAGCATTAATACTATAATAATCCATAATATGAGAGATGAGAGAGAGTTTACAAATGATATTATAATATATTACCTCTGTGATAATTTGCCTTATGCAATTCATAATCTTGGGCGGGAGGAACTATGGCACTTGGTTAAACAAGGACATACTGAGGCGCTGAAGAGCCGAAGTGCCCTGAGTTTAGCGCATATCCCCTATTTACTCTTTTCAATTTCTCCATTTCTCTTCCAATGGAGATTGAGTTTAAGAATCATCTGACTAGGTGACATGATGAGTCTTTATGGTTTTAGTCAGCAATTTAGTCATCTATACTAATATTATAAAGAGGTAATGTTTATAAGTTTGTATGTAGGGGTAATCTCCGAAACTAGTCATTCGATTTCAAAAATTCTTTCACCAACATTTAGAATGGAACTTCAGGGTGGACATAGGCTGTATATTATTCCGTTAAACATTCATATAAATTAAAAGATATCATTTAGGTTAAGGCTTTTATGTCCAACAGATGGCACTATGAGTACGACGACCTAAGTTTGCTTTTCTGTGAGGATGAACTAAAAATGAACCCAGATCATCTTCTATCTATCTATATAAATAAAAATGTAATGTTCATTTGTTCCTACTGATTCCTTTGAAATTTTGACACAATGCTGCATTCGAATACGCACGTGTTTATATATGATATACATGTCAAAATTCCCCCCCACTGGAGGGAGAGGGACATGATTAAGGCTTACCATGAAGAACTTGGCTTATATTATACTATTTTAGATGCGGTTTTTTGCGGTTTTGATTGCGTTTTAATAGGGTACGTCAAGAGAATGTACACTAAGAAGGGATTTTTCGAAAAATTCCCCCCACAGGGGAAGTGTTATACATTAATGTGAGATCCAGAATTTTACTAATCTAAAAATTTTAATTCTTTATTTTTGTTATATAACGGATTGAAAGAAAAAATGATCTTAGCTGGGAATGTGTAAACTTTCCTTCCATAAAATGTTGATAGTTATTATCAACATTTTATTGTTCTCGCACAGCTTGCAGCTCAACTTGCACAAAAGTTTATAGTTAGCATCCAAATTTCGTCACTTGTTTAGATCCTGGGAACACCTATAACCTTTATCTCCTATAACAACTGATTACGTGACTGATTTTCCCAGCAAAAAACTATAAAAGATGTTTCCTACCCCCTCTCAGGGGAGTCTGAATGAAAGCCAGACCGACGACATTGGTTCCCGTCGAGTGAAATCTCCGAATCAGGCATAAATTCTGAACCTCCAACATTGATCTCTGTCCGTCGCCACAGTTGCGATTTTTATATTTGTGCTAAAGTTGGATTACCTGAACTTCTCATTGGATATCAAGGTGCTTAATGAACTTGAATCTTCGTGGAAACCTACAAAGAGGTATGAAAATCCGTATGAACTCTTTCTCGAGATCTTAGGCGGTTTAGCGTTGAGATTAGCGTTTTTAGTTTTGTCAGTCTTGTCTATTTTAATAAATTCTTGTTTTATTTGTTAAATGGTAGACTCCTTTATTTATATACAGCCTTCACCTTATCGTTGACCCCCAAACACTCTCCTTCCACTCGACCGACATATGAGAGTCCTGACCCTCGGGACCAGACAACGTAATTTAGCCATCTTGACAATTGACCTGTTGCCGGAAAGGGAGGAGCGACCGTTTCCCGACCTCCTTGGCGTTCACATATTGGTGTCAGGTGTGGTGTTTGGTTCCACCACTGTTGTCATTCCTATCCTGCCCTTCCACCTCGTCTCGTTCTCATACTCCTCTGCCTGGTTTCTTTTAAGGTAATATTGAGGTCGTTGTTCTTTGATACTATGTATATTGCCTTCCCAGCGATTTCGGTTATTGCAGTTGTGATCTGCATTAGGTTGCACTCTAAATCTGATTCTATTTCTCTTATTTCTGGACTCACATCATCCCAGAGAATTGTTTCTTGGATATGAGGAGCGTCCAACATTATCTCGGCAGTTGGGTAAGTCCTGATTTCGGTTCTGGTTACTTGGGCTAACTTGTCAATTAAATCGGCGACCAGAGAACTCGTTTCGCCATTGATTAGGATTATTATAACCTCCACGATTGTTTCAGTTCCACATCGGACTTCTAGCATTAATGGGGAGTGAGCCTCTAACTAACCCGTCCATTTTTGTCTTTAATTCTTCCATCGAAAGCGTTAATTGCTCTAAATCGGTTATAGAAGAGGTAGAATTTGTCATACTTTGATTTTCTTGGATTGTTCGCATAATCCCGCGAGGATGTGCAGTAAGTTCTTCAGTTGTCTCTTCACTTATTGCAGCCTTCAAGGCGTCATCAAACATTACAGATTCTTAGCTCATGGTTCTTTGTCTGATGCATATGTCTACTCCACTTAAAAATTGTGCCTTTAACCGTTCGTCTAGTTCTTTATTTTGAATTCTTTGGATTAGAGAGACTTCCATGTCATTTGCACCTGATTCTGGTGTGACTTCTATCTCCATTGCTAAGGCTTGCAATCGAGCGGCATATGTCTGAACATCTTCACCTTTTCTTTGCACACAGGAATAAAATCTACTTAGTCTAAATGAGAATGGTTCATACTCAAAGCACTGTATCATAATACACTTAAACTCATCGAATTCATTGACCTTGTTGATTCTCTGATCTTTCCTCACAAATTCCCTAGCTATACCTGTCAATTTGAGCTTTCCTACGGCTAGCATCTGTGCCTTTGATCAGGCTGCTACTTTTGTAACATCCACCAACAAGTCAAAGAAGTCTGTTACTCTGGGACCTCTTGCCTCTCCCGAAAATATGGGTAATAAAGGTATTATTCCGCCCAAACCTCCTAATGTAAGAGGGCTTGGATTCGGATTTGGGTTTGGGCAACCCAAACCCAAATCACATTTCTAATAGATACATGGCGGTTCACATTTATAATAGATACATTTTGAGCCACAACAATGCATGGCGGGGTCTGCTAGTGGGAGATAAAGATCTCTCTCAGGAACTGACTGCGAACACAGGATACACTTGTTCCTTGTTCTCTTTGATTTTTAGCTTTGATAAAAATTTATCGAAATATAATATTTAAAGTTTTAAGTAATTTTCTATGTAATTTTTAGAATATTTCAGCTTAAGATATTTAGATTCTCACACTAGCATGTCTTCTATGGGCTTATAGAATCGAGTTTATTCTCAAAATTTAATGGGCCAATTTTGATAAAAGTTTGTCATTTTCCATTAATTGAGACAAGAATCCAAAAATGTAAAAAAATAGGAATACATGCTTCGTTTTCAATGTACATTGAAGTCAAAGTGACAATGTTCTTACTCCCTGAGGCATTTGAGTGCACCTAATGAAATTTAGGGCAAAAAAATAAAAAGCAGCATTGTGTGTGCCTAAAGGAAAATAGGCATGAAAAACAAACGAAATGCAAGAACAAAGCAATCAATGGAAATTGCTTTGTTTTTGGATCTCTTCATACCTGACCAGTGCAAGGATTGCATCTTCCTTGGCTGGCAGCTATGAGGATCACCTCTCCTGGGCCAGCAGGTACAGTACAAGCAGGGCCATGGAAAGGTAATGGCAGAGGGGTATGTACCCAGGGCATCAAAATTTAAAAATTGTTAAATGGGCAAACTAATGAATTCATAGAAAACTGTCACAAGTATGAAAACTTATATTATGAAATATAATTTGCATTATATTAATAANGTTAGTGAGAGTGTAATATAATTTGTCATATAAGCATTTTTAGTTTATAATAAAGAATAAAATATTAATTTTAAATACTATTATAACTTATTATTAGTGTAGGATACTGTTATAATTTACATTTTATTTTGTATATTTAAAATTTTTTAATAATACAATTGAATTTAATAAGCATATTTTTGAATAATCTTACAAAACAATTAATATATTGATTTTATCTTTCAGGTTCATTTATAATCGAAATTTTAACAACACTTAATTATATGTTGGCGAAATTAGAACTTTATGAATTTTTAGTTAACATTTTAAATATAGAAGAAGAAGTTTCTTTAGATTTTATCAAAGCTGAATTAGTAAAAATATCATATTTGTGTCGTAGAACTTTTACATGTGAACATATTTTGCTAAGAGCAATTGAAGAACTTCCCCATATTTTTTGTGTATCTAAAGCTTCATCTAACAGCACAGAAAAATGTGTTGTTCATGCAAATGGTCAAATACAAGAGCTCTGGGATGCTTTTGGTACAGGTAAAAAATTAAAAATTATTCTTTTCCAAAATCTCACACACTTTTTATTTTAAATTTTAATGTTATTGATACATTCTTTATTTTATTTAGTTTTTTAATTAATTCTTTGTTTGGGTTAATACAGATTTATATAATTGTACTGAATTTTAATTTTTTGCATGCTTTTGTATATTTTAGAAAATATTTTCTATGTGAATTCTAGAGAGGTTAAAAATAAGTAATATAATTTTCTTTAAACAAAAAACATCACTAAAACCCAATACATTATAAAACTATAATGTTTAGTTTTAGTGATGTTTAGTGATTGGTTGGATTATAAAACTATAAGCCAACCAATGCTGTTTTATTAATTTATTAGTATTATAGCTGTTATCTAGCCCAATGACATACATCATTGGTTGGCTTTAGTTTTATAATTTTCTTTGTCATTAATTTGTTGAATTTAATTGTATATCCCATAATAATATTTTTACATAATACTTTCTATTAAAATTGAAGTAAATTAGAACAGCTCTTTATTATCCTTATGTATATAGTATTAAATGAGATGTAAGTCTTTATAATGCCTATAAAATAGAATTTTATATAAAAAGTATAAAATTAGGTAGAATTGAGTATTTAGAGAATAAACTTCTTGAAAGCAAGTCTGACCAGTGATATATTATTTCAGTTATACATATATTATTTGTATCCCTAAATGCTAATTTTAAACTGAAATTAATCTAAAATAGCATTTCAATTTAAATTGATGTTTAAGATGTTATAAAAATTTTTTAATTATTGTAGTCTGTACAGACTTCTTTTAAGAGGAAATATAAAAATTTATATATGTATAATTAAAAAAAATAGTCACAAAATATATTTGATTGGTTTTCCTTTCTTGTTGATGATAGAAATTTCGTTAATATGTGAGGCCCTGGGCTGGGATGAAAAACTTTTTTTTAATCAAAAATCCAAACAAAAACAAGTCTTGATCTTTGCGATTAATTAAAATTAAGGGAACTAAATTATAATGGAAAAGGAGAAAAATAAAATTATTTTAATATTAAAACCAAGCAAAAAAAAAGAGAAAAATTAGCAAATTAAATTTTCTATAAGACAAGATGAACAAAAAAGAAAATGTTAGTTAAGGTACAAGGTTTGTTCAACACTGAATGAAAGACAGTGTCGAATTGTATTCATAAACAATCGTCCTTCTTGGGAATTGATCTGGTCCAATTCACCTAGTAACAGAGAAAGACCAATCTGGGACTGAGAAGAGGGATTAATAACCAATAAAATGACAATTTGCGAGACAAAAAGGTATTTAAGCCCAGGCCACTTGGTTCTTTGCCGTGGCATCCCACAAGGCTGTGTCCCTCGTTGGGGTGCTTTCCGCAAGGTTCCATCTTCATCTTTTGCCGATGTATCTTCTGAAAGAAATTCTTCGTTGAGAGAAACTTCAGACATTTTAATCTGCATTCATTGGACATCTTTTCCTGGTCCACAACTGGACTTATAATGCAGCATCCAGTCAGCAAATGGAAACTATTTTTGTTTCCTCTTCTTCTTTGAAGAATATGTGCCAAAGTATAAAAGGACTTCAACCCTTCGTGACTGTAGAATGTTTTGTAAGTTAAATTGTCTAATAAATGGATTGTGTTGTTTGTGAACAAGGCATCGATCTCTGACTCAACTGCTCCCATATGTTGTTGATTGTTACCATCAGCAGTCCAGATGGCAATGGAGACAATAATGATATCACATATAATTGTTATTTTTCGTTTTGAAATCTTCCTCCCCCCTCAGCCCCCTTACAAATAGTTCTTTGCTGATGATGTTAATCATCTGATCCAAATACACTACACCCTCAATATTCATGGACATTATTGTTTGGGAATTTGATCATTTGCAATCAGAAATTTATGCACAAAAATTTCAACATGAAAGGTTTCAATCTTTAGGGATATAGAAGATTACATATTACTGTAAACTGGAGTTGGCACCTGCATGAACTGGGTTTTTGGGCAAATGCAATGCTAAAAGGTCACTGCACTCACTCATTTGTAGGGTGTCTGTCATAAGTTATGCTACTGGTTTTGTTTATTTTTTTCTTTTGGCTTAAAGAAAAATGACTTTTGCAGCAGTATAAACCATTGTACAGTATATTTATTTAATAAACCTATTCATTACTTTGAATTTTTTTTAATTAAACAACAGTAATATTAATTCTTGGAACAAATTACAAATTTAACATTGAAAAATGAAACTTAAAATTAGAGAATTTGATGTTCATGAAGGATTACTTGTTTCCAATTATTCATGAACATAGGGGGGATCAGTGTATATTGAAGAAAAATATGAATCATTATCTATATGAAATATCTTCAGTGATGTTTTTACATCAACACAAAAAAATTTAATAACTTCAGCTGCAATAAAATATAATAAATATAATGATATTTAGAAAAATTAGGTTAATGTTACCTATGGTTCCAAAATGGTGGCACTTTGATTAGATTTGTTTAGTCTTTGTGAGATTAGCTACATTTTTATTAGACGTTTCCTTTATTTATTTATTTTGTTCAAGAACTACCATGAATCAATAACTAGTGACGTTTGGCACTCGGCAGCCTGCCAACGGCTCCCCTCCAGGAGGAGTCCGTCTGGACCACGAACGGTTGAAAGCACCTTTATTTTGGAACTATAGATAACATTAACCAAAAATTATTTTTATATAAAATTGCATTTTATGATAAATACAGCAGCTCAATATACTTGGAATAGCAAATGATCTGCTGGTTTTTTTATCAAGCCTTACTAACAAGGGGACCTTACGGTCTCGGAAATTCAGTTCGGGATGAGACTTTGTAGGTTAGTAGTATACCTCAAGGGTGTCCACCCAGAAGAATTGTAAAGCGCACTAGCAACAAGATTCCGAGAAAAAAGGCTCTAAAGTTTCAAGCGCAGCTCATATACCGATCGATTTTACACTATGGCAGCACTGCGAAATGGCTGAGCCTGTAGCGAACTCGCTTGCCACGCGGACGATCTACGTTCGATTCTATCTTCGGCTAACTTTTTTTTTTTAAATTGTTTTAAAAATTGTAACAACTTTTAAATAAAGTTAACTACCTAAAAATATTATCAATTAAATCATAAATAACTGTCAACTTTCACACCTGGGAGCTAATTATTCCGTGAGTTTTCACAAGTTAGCAGCAAAAGTGGCACTTTCACATAACTTTCCACCTATGGTCGTCTTAAGTTCATCGGTTGAAAATAACAAGGAATTGAAAAATTCTTCAAATTTAAAACGAATGTTTTTAACCTCTCCATAGCTTAAAATATTTTTAAAAAGTTGAATAATTTCAAATGCATTTCTAATGGAGGTAAATTAAAACTTTAATTTTAATTTAAAATTTTAAGATATTTTAAGCTGTGGAGAGGTTAAAAATATTCGTTTTAAATTTGAAGAATTTTTCAATTCCTTGTTATTTTCAACCGATGAACTTAAGACGATAGGTCGGAAAGTTATGTGAAAGTGCCACTTTTGCTGCTGACTTGTGAAAACTCACGGAATAATTAGCTCCCAGGTGTGAAAGTTGACAGTTATTTATGATTTAATTGATAATATTTTTAGGTCATTAACTTTATTTAAAAGTTGTTACAATTT